TTGTGTTACATACTTATATCTAAAGGAAATATTAAAAACGTTCCGGATACATACGAGAAATGAGTAATCGTGGAAACGGATACTTCTACAACATCGCACAATCATCTGACTCAACATCTTTCTCGAAAAGATATCGAGATCATATTGTCCAACACAAATATACATCATCCGACGTTGTTATTCGTTGTTTACAGATAATAGGAGATTAAAGTGAGCAATCCAACATTACGCACACGTTTTACGAAGATATATGAAAAACGCAAACCGTGGGAATCGAACCTGCGTAAATTCGCATGATGGGCGGGCGCTCTACCAACTGAGCTGCACGAATCGGGCGGAAACGACTTTCAGAGACAGCACAATTGCGTGAATCTTGCCGGACTGCATCGCTCCGCTAGGTTTTTGTGACATGAATAGAAGATTTAAAACTGTCGGGCCTGGGATTCGAACTTGCGGTCATTTTAAATCGGCTCCTTGTCGAAACTGTTGTGTTACATTTGTGCAGACTAGTGCGTGCTCAACCTGTGTCGGGCTGCTACGTATGCTATTTAAAACTCAACGCAATTGAACGGCTAGGTCGCGAGAAGATGCCTTCATTTTGCCTATATACTCTAGCCGCAGGTAATGCCGGTTTGATTTTAGCGCGCGCCCGGGGCCCCCACCCCAGCGCGCGCAATTTTGTTAAGGCGATGGGTTGGGTTTCTTGGCGAAACCGGCGCGGGATCCACCAAGAAAAAGGGTTGAAGACGATACCAACAACACGCGTCTCCGACACCTATGGCGCACGCCCAACTAATCGATGTTGACGATATGTAGACAACTTTTCACTACAATTCGCCCCCTCACGAGAGTAGGGGAGTTGTCATATCACTGCTCTCGTGCCGCATTGCAAAGAGCACAGTACCAGAAATCTTGCTGGCCATCATAATCAGTGCAGTCCACGTGGAACCAATGATCACAATTGTCACAACAAATAAGAGTACCAGCTCGACGTTCCTTGCAGATAGGGCACAACTTGTCAGTTAATCTCGGGTCGGGAATAGGATCGACATCGGTCTCACCACCAGCCTCGTCGACAGCACCAATAGCCTCAAACTTACGAATCCTTGAGCTATGAACCACCCACGTCCTCTGCGCCTTCGATCCATCAGAATTCGACCCGATTTCAAAACACTGACTGCTAAGCTTCCTGATCACCAAATATGGTCCCGAAGCTTTAGTAGATAGCTTGGGACCCTGAATATGTCCGGGCTTGAAAAGAATAACTTGATCCCCGACCTCAACAGGCAATGATCCGCCCCTCTTAACGATCTTCCCCGCGAATTTACTGGCCAAAGTTTCACGAGCTTGCAGCCATTCTTCCGCAAAGACCTGCAAGAGCTCATCTCTCTGTTTAGCACGGGATCTCGCCTCTGCCTTCGCAGCTGCTTCGCTACCTCTAAAATTCATAGGGACCCTTGAAGACTCAGCAACCTGGGCCGAAAGGGCACCGATGATAGGACTTTGAGGCTTCCATCCATAGATTCTCTCGTGCGCACCACTTACGAGATTAGCTCTGGCCTCTGCAATCGCAATCAGCCACTTCCAACTCGCCTGGGGGTTGGAATGCAGACAAGAGCGAAGAGTTTCCGAGACCTCTTTGTGCTTCCTTTCCCAGAAGCCGCATTGAGGTGTGTAAGCAGGAATAGTCCGCAGTTTACAACCGATCATCATAAGGAAGCTAACCAAGGGAGTAGCCTCAACGAAGTTCTTGGCATTATCACACCACAGCTCCTTCGGCCATTTTCCAACACGCCAGAAATGAAGTTCCAGGGTATCTGCAATATCCTTGGCCCTGCCGCTGTCCAGTAAATAGAAGGAACAATGACCACTCAGACGATCTATGACACTGAGAACTTGCCTACCATCATCATCGCCCCCTTGCGGGAAACGCTGAGCGGAACCCGCACCAATTACCAAGACGGACGGACGACGTAAAGGACCAAACAGGTCTATTCCCACACAGTCATAAGGAGCCAAAGGAATCTTGCTGGCACCGAAGGAGACCTGGGCCCTAGTACCGTTGTCGCGGGTCAAAGCACAGCTTAAACAGCCTCGAAGAGCCTTACGAGTAATCTTCCTCATACCAGGTGCCCAAACCTCACTGAAGAGTACGGCCAAGGTAGCCGTAAGGCCTGCGTGACCACATTCCTGGTGCACTGCTTGAGCAAAGTCCGCTATCAAGCACTGTGGAACCACCAGCTGCTTCCGTGGGCCCTCGTCAAACGGCAGATCGGGACGTAAACGGTATAAGAGGCCATTGTGCAACTCGAAGGTATAAGGCAAACCCACGATAACACTCTTCCCTTGGGCATCAAGGCCATCGGTAATCTTCAAACAAAAAGGATCATTCTCCTGCTTCACCTTCAGAAAGTTGGAGAAGAGTGATGCTTTGGACGATTCAGGAGCATCCTGCCCTCGCCAGCCTCTAAAAAAAGAGAGCAGGTTCACCCACTGGCGGAAGGAAGGGATTGACCAAACACCCGCCCCCTCGTCCGACAACCAAGAATGGACTTCGACTGCGTCACAGGAGACGGAAGCAACCACCTGCATGTGAAGCGAAGCATCAGATATTGGCTGGTACTTCATAGTTAAAGACACCCTCGACAGCACATCAGCAATGTGATTTACCGTCCCTGGAAGATGAGAGAAGACCACCGTGACCGGAGGCGCCGAACACCTGAACGCGTGGGCGACCTCAATAATAACCCCCCGGAGACGCATGATAGCTCGCTTCTCAATGCTCTTACAGACCGGAACTTGCCACGGGTTTGCTTGATGGACCGCGACTCGGCTATCACCCCGTATCTCAATATGCCGTAAGTTAACAAATAGATGGGCATCTTCATCGAGACGGCGTAAACAGGCAGCAATGACGAATAATTCACGTCGGTTGCAATGCCATGATCCTAAAGCCATAGATTTGCTTTGGACCCTTGCTTCCGAGCGGATGACTTTTCCCGAGTTGGAGTCCTTCCAGACGAAACCGTATCCTCCGGCGGAAGCGTCTACCTCAGCAATAATGCTTTCTATTCCCGTGAAGAGGCACAAGTTTGCATCTTCTACGGCTGCCGCCTGGTCCCAATACTTCAGGGACAGGTTCAGATGCACGGATGCCGGCGAAGCCCAATCATTTCCGGGCTCGGGGGCATCCCAAGTAGACGCGTTGCTGGCTAGAACCCTCGCACAATCCGCATGAGCTCGAGCAAGGCTCTCATTGACACCACCACTAATCTCAGTGAACTTGCCAGCAGCTTGGAACACACGGCGCTTCGTAAGACTGTCGACATCTCCCAGAGCGACACCACCTACACGCGGCCGAACCAACTTAAGTGATCCCCTATGCCAACTCCAGTGGCTTCCCAACCAACGAGTAGCTTCCTCACCCCATGATGTCCTTTTGGATTCGGGGCATTGGAAACCCGTAGCCTCCCATACCTTGAGCAACAGTCTTTCGACTGCCTGGACTGCCTTCGGATCCCCCCATAAGAGGAAGTCGTCCATGACAGGGATGGTACACACCTTCTCATAACCAAGCAAACTGCGGGCCTTGTCCACCACCATCCACAATATCCGCTGCGATCCACGGAGCACAATTGGGCCACAAGCCAGTCCAAAGGCAAGTCGTTGACAGGTAAAGCGTTTATGACCGACAGCAAGACGAAGTGGCACCACCCGACCATCCGGGTTTGAGGGTTCAACACCGATACAGTAGAACGCCTTCGATAGGTCGAACTGTCGAATAGTATCCCCTTCCCTGAGAGAACTTCTCAAAGATCTAGCAGCCTCTGCTGTGGTATGCTGCTCATTACTGACCGGCGGACTGAGGGAATTCACGAGTCGTAGATCTGCCACGGGTCTGGTCTTAGTGGTCTTACACACCGCCGGCCCAACAATGGGCAGCAGTTGAGCATCAAGACCGACGCCATCGTCTCCCGACTGTCTAACAGGGAAGATAGTTCCATAGGGACACTCCACCTCATTTGGCCCTCCGCAGCTTTCTTCAGGACTCCACCAGCCTTGCTTTTCATATTCACCACAATGAGTATAAAACTCGGCACGTTCGGCCTCTGTAAGCTGTCGAATCATGCGGTCACTTGACCAAGGCCTTTGCGTGCCCGAAACTGGATCCTTCAGATGCCATTGAGCCACGAACTGGAACTTCTGCCCATCAAATCTTCTGCCATCAACACTGTTGCGGTCTAGTCGCAGTGCGTACCCTTCCGATAAAGGTATGGGTTCACATCTCGAGAGGGCTTCCAAGAGACGATCAACGACAACTTCGTCGGACAGATCCCCGGAAGATGTTGCCACAATCTGCTGACTCTCGTTGCTCAAAGCCTCGGAGACCTTTATATCGAGGGAGTCCCGAAAACCACCCAGAGCAGCGTTTGCCGCAACATTCTCCTCCAGAAGTTCTCTTACGGGATCATCAGAAACGTACAGCTCGCCGTTACTGTGAAAGCACTCGATCCGCGCACATAACTCCTCCTCTTCTTCGTGACCCAATTCCCGTAGAGGTCTTTGCGGAGAGTTATCGGAGAACTTGTACCGGTCAAAAGCTTGCCGTAATTGAGATCTCTCCTCGACAGAATCTTGGGGGAAATTGATTGAGATGCCAAGTAACCTGAGCGCCCTACGACCCAGGATTACACCGCCTTCGCGACCGAGTCGAGGCACAATCAAGAATGGTAAGAAGCACTCATTATCGCCCATTTTAGTGTGAATGATGACCTCTCCGCCCGCATGTTCTTCCTCACCGTTAGCATATCGAATCAGCACTGGCGGGTCACCGAGCCTTGCGATACAATTCCGCTCCTCCAATTCGTTCACCAGTGATGCCGATATCAACGAACACGACGATCCTGTGTCGAGCAAAGCTTCGAACTTCTTATCCCCACAACGCAGAGAAACCTGTGGAACCTCGTCGGTGTTCCTCAGAGCAAAGGATTCAGTTGTCGCTGAGGTCGCCAGACAGTCGACGGCAAAGTTGTTGCTAGTGATTTGCAACGATGTCTTAGAAGCATCCTGACGATCCAGTGAACGTCCTCCATCTGCTTCTGCCACCGATCCGTCCGTTTTTTGAGCCCCACCACCCTCAGCAGCCATCGACTCCTTGACCGCACTTTTCTTAGACGCTGGGCGGTTAGGACAATCCCGCTTCATATGCCCAACTTGTTGACAGGCATAGCATCTCCCACGGAAACCTCCCACCCAAGGCTCCTTCCGGGGCGGGCGATCGTTCCCCTGCGACTGCACTGCCTTGGCATCCTGTGCCTCTGCAACTTCAACACACCTGACTCCGGGAGCCGATGAGGCAGGCGCAACCCTTTCCATGGCAACCAGCCAGTCCTCCCATGTGATGTCAGGTTTTCCGGCCCTCATCAAATAACCGAGACTTTTCGAGAATTCATCCCGCATCCCTATTCTGGCAAGCGACAACCAGTGAGTCGCATCTTGATGAACCCCTACGAGATGACACTTCTGCTTGAAGCTATTGACACGATAAAGGAAAGTCATCAGAGTCTCTCCGTTCTTCTGCACCAACTTCTGGGCCTCCGTCAACAGCACCTCCCTCTGCTTGTCACCGCCGCTCTGGCGCTCGAGAGAATCCCAGACGATCTGCACTGCCTTGGCGTAGGATGCTCTACTTAACGTATTCTCAATAAGAGGCCCGTGCGCCAAGGAAATATTTATCCATAGCGCTGTATCGACAAACTTCGCCAACCAGAAGAAAGCATGCACATCCCCCCAGCCTCTTTGATTCGCAATGGTCTGGAAGTAGGCCCGAAACTCCGCCAACGTTTGGGTATCACCCTCACGAACCACAAAGCAACCTCCTGGTGGTGCCTTTGTGGCCTCCGCAGCCTTGCGTATTTTTTCCACAAGCTCTTCTGTGAGTTCTGGACGTGACCCCGCCCTCCGATCTGGCTGCCCGCTCACTGGTACTGAGCCTGTCTTTCCCAGCTCTTTCTCGACTGCCGATACTCCCGACAGGGACTTCACACCGATGGCGTACTCCGACTTCTGCGCCTGCTCCGCACTCTTCCTCCTCCTCAGATGTTGTATCCGAGCTTGAGTATACCGCCCAACAAACGGCTCGGGAAGATCCACTGCATATGGGGACAATTCCTCAGCATACAATCGATCTCGCGCTGAACGTCGCAGAGTTCTCAAATACCGCTTACGGTCCTCCGATCCCTCCGATAGGATGCGTTTGAGTTCGAGCTCCAAAGCAAGAAACTCTCCGAGGACTCTGACGTTGTCCCGAGCCTCACCCGCGATAGGATCCTCTTCTGGGGTCTCCAGCTCTTCAATATCTAGCTCTACCATCACTTCACTCACAATAAACTGCCCGACTGAAGCCCATTCCGCCGGCTCATAGTCCTCCCCTATGCCGCCCACCACGATGTTCACCAAATCAGTGAGTTTGTCAGCACTCAGCCTCGGCTCCCCTGCAACCCTGCCGACTTCCTGTCCCACCGAGATCGCCAAAGTTTGTAGGGTTTCTGGGAGCGGTTCCTCTATCTGTGCCGAACCATGTGACGCAACACCAGGTGCTGGGGTTAATATGGGAAATACGGGCGGCATAAGGACAACAAGAAAAAGGGTTGAAGACGATACCAACAACACGCGTCTCCGACACCTATGGCGCACGCCCAACTAATCGATGTTGACGATATGTAGACAACTTTTCACTACAGTGGGTAGCTTCCCCTACCACGTGCCTCCGCGCCTCGCTGGGGCCCTGCCCGCTCGGCGATGTATACCTGTGTATATCGCATAACGCTTGCACCCGTCCACAAATCTCGCTCGCCCACGAGTCGTTGCAGGGCGAGACGTGACACCAGCATGTGACGTGACAAACCACAACCGAACGACGAGATTCTAGCCTTCTTCCACTGCCCTCTTGCTCTGTAGTCGCCTTGGTCGGTCCGGACAGTCATCATTTGCACCGTTGTAGTTTTCCATATCGCTCTCCTTGGCTAATATGCAGTCATCATTCCTGTTCTCATCACTTCTTCTCCTCCAAGGACTATTTCACTTAGTCATGGCAGGACAGGACTCTCAGGATCAACTTCTGGGAGGGTGAGACCTCCGTAGTCCCCGCTCTACCTTCCTATGATGGTCGTTCTAGATTCACTGAGAAGGTATCGGTTCCTGAAGAGTGCTATGGTCCCAGGGGAAACCTTCGTCTATGCGCGGATGCCCTGAAGGAACAGGCTATCCTCATGCAAGTCCACGACCAAGTCATGCATCGTCTCCAGCAGTCAGGGTAGGAGGTTGCTCAGTGACTAGCATTCTTACAAACCTCATTCCTGTGTGCCCCTCCTAGATACAGCGGCATGCTCCCTAATTTAGAGTTGAAGCTGTTGCAGTACGCTACCCAAGTGGTTGCAGGTATGGTCTCAATACTCGGCTAGCAATGATATCTA